TATGTTACTAATATTTCTTTTTGTTCTTCGCTTATTTTTAAAAATAAAACATTGGACGTTTTCATTTTGTTTCTGCGTACTATATTGCTATAAGACAACTTTTAACTGTAGCACGTGTAAACTAATTCACGCTGATTTGTTTACAATTTGTCACAGTTAAGTTGATTGGTCGATTCATTATAGTCGCAAACCCAGATGCATTGTAAATAATCCCATCATGCTTAACGACACACGCAACCAAGTGAGTATGACGTATTTCCGCTCGCCTTTCGAGTTCGCTCGAAGAGTCTAACTCGAGACTACCGATTATGTGAGTCATAGTAACACGAGTGAGTTCGATGACGTCAGTTCGAGTACAACACGAAAAACTCGAGACTAAGGGCCCAGGTTACTTCGTACTCCTACCCAAGTCTTCCTAGTCGCTAACTGTAACTGATTTAGAACCGGCATGCACTGCACATTATTCTTCGCATTGCAAAATGACATACGCATGCGTCAGGAACTTCTGTTCGAACAAACCTCACCTGTCGGGTCAGCGATTTTAATTAAAAAGGTGGCAACACTAGCACGGAATTTTTCATTACTTATTCTGTGACGAAACTGAATTTTAGTCTTTTAAATTGAGACACCTAAATAAAGGGACGGCAAAATTTTCCTTTGCTCCGGGCGGCTGACACCCATGCTACGCTACTGCCCTATACACCATACTTTTCCTGATAACAGAGTGGTGCCGGTCATCTATGTAACTCCCCTGAGAGGACATTTTTTAATTAAATTTATGTGACTTCCGATCTATACTGGTCATTTATATATAGTTATTCGGGCTTCATGCCTCCAAATAATTTTCCATATTTGTTCTCGAATTTCATCTGTCTACCACTGTTATCGAGATTAAGGAAGGACATACAACAGTCGGACGAATTATAGATCAGTTTTATTCAGATTGCAACCCAACAATTGAGATTATTTTATATTTTACAGAAATGGCCAATAAACAGTTTGTTATTTAAATTAAAGCATACGATCATAATGCCTAAATATTTTATATCGTTCGAACAACAAAGCCTATCATTTTTCAAAATCGAGCAACGAGTTGATTAACTTTTCCGCCAACATTTGGTGGCGCCATCTGTTATCATAATTTATTACAAAAAACTTTTTATGTTTTTAACTACAGTAGTTCCTTGTTATATCGTGCTTGTCGGGTGACAATGAAAAAGCGCGATATAACCGAGTACTAAAAATTCTGGGCATTTATTAAACAGATTATACGTGCTAGAAAACTTCCATCTTCTATTCTTTCATCAGCAAATATTTCTGATATAAAATAAGTTTAGTTTTGCAATACTGAATTTTATTCGTGGTTGAATCGTATTAATTGACGTTTACATAAGCGTCGATACCACGAACGCCCATTTAGCATTATTGTTTTGTTATCTCATTAATGATATAAAATTAAGCTGTAAAACTGAATTATCTCTATGAGGAACCCCGTGAACTTTGACCTATCGACCCGAAAGTTTCGCCAGTACCTCATCGATAACGAGAAAAGCTTAAGTTTAATTAAAATTTCAGCTTTCTAGACCCAGTAGTTTTTTCTCTACGAGCCTCTGCAGTGCCGGATGAAGAAAATTGAGATAAAAATATAGCTTTTATGAAGATTTTGTACTTTTCAATTGCTTATATTCGGCAACTACTTTATACAAAAATCTTGAAATTTTGCATACTTCCTAAGAAAACAATTTTCCTTCGAACGACACGAGATATTCGAAATTTTCTATTATGAATAAAAATATAAATTTTTTATAAAACATAGTAAATTTTTAACTGTTTATAAATAAGACTAGCAGCTAATTTAAAAAATTTTCCAACGAGTTACACTGTTGATAATTCCGTGTTATATGAATTTCATGTTGTACGAGTCACTTAAATTTTACAAATACGTGTGCCGGGATGTGAACGGCTCACGTATTTATAAAATTTAAGTAACTCGTACAACATGGAATGCATATAACACGGAATTATCAACAGTGTTATAGGGGTGGTTTACTGTACTTAACTTTCCTGGCAAAAACATTTTAACTTGTATGCACGCCTTCTGCTAGGAAATTTTATTTAAAAACTTTTTATATTATGAATTATCGTAAAGTGGCAAAAAAACTTGAAGGTAGAGACGAGTTTTATAAAACATTGTAACTGCTTATAACAACTAAATTTTTCATTTATTTATTGGAAGTTCCTACTGGAGATATGACACGTGTCCCCATCTATCATCTTATCTTTATCCATTAATATTCAACAGCGTCAATCCCCCTAATAAACAAACATCCCTGAAAAATTTCAGAAATTTTAGACAAAAGATAAAGGAGTTATTAAGCTACAAAATGGTTAAACAAAAGCATGCCCCTAAATTTATACCTACGTGAAGATACTCCCATTATTTAATTTCACAGCGTTTGAAGGTTCGCAGTGACCAAAAATAGTAAAAATCTTACAAGAGAGTAATTTTTCGATCGATCGCCATACTCTGTTATATATAACAGTCGAAAAACTAACAATTAATACGGTAAAACCTGTATAAAACGGATATTTTTCAAATGGGAATACGTATTTGGTACCGTGCGTGTCCTGTTTATACAGGTTTTGTTGTAGTCTATTTCGTTTAATATCTCAGGATAAGGTAAAGGTTGAGTAATAGAAATTGGCACGGCAGATTATAAATAAGGAGCAATAATTTTACTAAATTCTAGTGGTTAAAGGTCGAAGAATACAACGGGGTCGGAATAAATAGATTTTCTCCTTACAAGCATTCATATTTTTAACAAAACTAATCCGCAACCTCAAAATTAAGCTTTCTGCCTTTTTGTAATAGTTAAAAAGTATAAAAAGTTTCTAATAAAATATGATAAAAAATGGCACAATCTAAATTTTAAAGTTTGCCGGAAAAGTTGAGCAACTCGTTGCTGGTTTATTTTTTACATGTATTAAAATATAGTGTATTGTCTTTACTCTTAACCATTGTGCTTTAATTAAACAACATTCTGATTTTAATTTTGTTTACATTTTTAATACATCACTTTATTAAATACCTACATCTGTAAATGAAAAGTAATACCGATTCCAGTAAATATTGTTTAGAACGAGATAGCACTGTTTAATCACCTGCTGAAGGGTTCATGTTTTATTCAATGTTCACGGAGACAAATTTGGCTCTTGCCGCCTATTCAGTCAAACGTAGCATTAAAGTAAATTATTCACAAGCTTTTAAAATTTAGAAATAAACATGTTTTGTGTATGTAAGGAGAAGTAACATTTATCAGTACGATTCTTGATAGTGAAAACGAGGAAGCATCCTCATTCTTCACGAGCCGACGCTTTCCAAAAAAATAATGGCATAAATAATTGAGTAAGTTAACCAACCAGCAATGTTAAAAGTTAAAGTAGTGTTGACTCGACTAAAGAAACAAAATCACAAGTGTTAAACCATGATGGTGGCTTCTCATGTGTGGTTTTTATTTTCTTTAGTCGAGTCAACAATAGTCAAGTCAGTCACATCGAGTTAGTCAAAGAATAGTCGAGGTGACTGTCGAGTCAACAATTGTGACATCTAACGATAAAATAGGTTACTTGGTAACACATATCACTTTTTTAGTCATACGTGTTACAATCATAATAAGACTTACACAACCTGATTATCAAAGAGAGCAACGTTATCTGGTATCCAAACCAGTATAGTTTCACATTCAGTTTTGGTTTTAATTTCTCTGTTTGATTGTTTTGCTCTTTTTCCTTTATCAGTGACTGCAGCGAGAATATAAAATCTTGATTTTTGTAATTGTCCACTATTGGAGCATATCGAAAACATAACAGGACAAAGAGTAGAGGTAATTGAAATGTTTTAATTATAATTTCTACAACATAAGTTATCAATACTAATCATTCTAATCATTAATAAGAAAAATTAATTTCTTTTTCTATCATATTTTATTTTAATTTGTAAACAAAATAAGTGTTTCTGAAGGAACTAATTTGATTTTTTACTGCAAGTTATACAAACCGCTACATATCATCCTATTGTACAGAATTGTCATTATTTTAAAGCTATTTTATAAAGTCTTTTACTTTGTGGTCAATTTACTGCAATTTGATTTTATAGCCAAAACTTTTTTAAATTGTATTGATTATAGATAGGTTTTTAGCAAATTAAAATTAGTTTCTCCATGCATAATAAATTATTAACGCTATCTCGTAATTTCTCTGAATTATTATGAGTAATAACTCTTTTACATCATCCTTGTTCTGTGGTCAACACTTTCTTAAGTAGTATGACTTTGTTACGCTTTTTTTCACATTTTAATACATTTCTCATTGTCAGTACATTATCAACACTTTTCGTATACTTCTAAAATTATCATAATTACTTTAACACACACTTTCAAGCACCAATCAACATTGGACACTTAAATGTATTGCTATCAATAAGTTATTTCCCCACAATGACTTATTGATTGAACACATATCAGGTAATTCTTATCTGTACATTAAATGTTCAGGATAATTCTTTTGGCATACTTACAATAAGGCATTTACATTTCTTTCGGTTTGTGGCTACGTTAGATTAGTTCCTTTCGTTTTATTTGATTTCGACTGGTGGTTTTACCCTGCTGCTTTTTTCCTGATTACTGATTTCAGTTGTTAGTGAACAGTCTCTGTTTCCGAACATAGAGCTTGCCACTGTGATTTGTGCTATATTGTGGAGTGCTGTTTTCTGGAACCCTTCTGTTCTTTTCTCTCTGTTTTTTTTTTGTCTATCTTTGATTTTGTTCTCCCCTCCTCTGCTCTGCAAAAATTTACGGCAGCCGTTCTGGCTTGCATCAACCAACTTGGCTTGCATCAACCAGATAGCAGCAGTGAGTGGCATTCTACTTTTCTTGGAAAGCTTGGTACTTTCGCAGCCATTTCGGTGAGTGTTTGCGTACCGCCTGTGTTCTCTTTTCCTGTGATTTTTTGCTGTCTTTCTGAGTTACCCATGATGGGCTCCTCCACTGTCTTGTCTGAACCCCAGGATCAGTGTCACTTGGTAAATGACGGTTTCCCCCGTCTCTCCTCGCGATTTTTCTGTTTTAGTGCTGATTTAAGTTGTTCTTTACTTACGTTGCTTTCTTGCCGTCATAATAAATGTTTCGCTAGATTTTTTGGCTTCTACTGTTGAGGATGCCTTCTTTCTGCTGTCTGCCATACCTTCACTTTGTGAGCGGCTGAGCCAGTTGTATTTATTCTTTATTTTTTAGGCGTGCTTCAGTACGAGTACAGGGTACAGTATAGGCATCATAGGTAAAAGGTTTATTACTGGAAGCGCACTGTCATGTTGTTTCTTCTCGTCACAAATGTTTTTGGATTTGAATCTCCGGAGTCAAATTCAAGGCATCTCGTTTTTCGCTCTTTATCTGCGGACAACTTTGCTGCCTGTTGACTGTCTGTCTATCCTTGCACGTTACCTTGTTGCACCCTTTTCCTCGCCAGCGCTGCGAGTGCTGTCTACTTAAAAGCCCCATTTAGCTTGACGTTGGTAACGTGTGCATACTAATCTACGAATTATAGTGATTAGTTAGATGTTAAGTCGTACACGTCAAGTTAAAGATCTTCAGGCACAGGGATAATTGTCTTCATTTAGAAATAACAACTACCATTTTAGATAGTTAATTAAAATAGAATAAACTAGTATAAGTACAATAAGTTGCTCAACTTTCGCTACCACTAACATTTATTTTTGCTGCTACAATCTTTTTAATCTGCTTAACAAATTTCAAAATTCCTTTCTTATTGAACGTTACCCGATTTTGTCAGATACCCAACTTTTTTATTTTTTTTAATTATTAGTTTTTAATTGTACTAACACTAGTAATTAGTTTCTGTTTTACTAACACTAGCTATTAGTCTTTCTCTGTACTAGCATTAATATTGGCTGTAGCAGCTCTTTGGAGCTGTCTGCATAAATAAAAATCACAGTGTTTTTTCTGCTTATTTGTTCAATAACTGTGCATTATTTAGAAGAATGCCGAGTGTTTTTGTTGTCCTCCAGACTGTCCCATCCTCTTAAATGTTCACCCCTCTCCTATCTAGAGGTCACACAACTGATTGAAAAAGGGTCTTTCCCTCACTTTTTCTTTGCTTGTTTTGTCAGTAGTAGTAGATCGTTTGCTTGTGTCTGTTTATTTATTTGATATAATCATTTAACAGTACATTTGTTTGTAAGCATCTATTAGTGATGCCTCTTCCAAGCTGTCTTTGCCTTGCTTTTTATTTCTGCTTAGTGGTTGGCCTCTCTCTTATTTGGTGGCTTATTGCCATCTGAGAGAGGGACCTACTTCTCACTTGATTGTTTTTTATACGATGAAAAAGAGGGAATAACTGTTATGTTATTTTTGTGTGTGGGCATAACATTATCATGTCTGTAAATTTACTCTGTTGTCTGTTGTAGCTTTATGTGTTTTTGGCATGAATATTAATATTCAGCTTTCCTGGATCTTGTAGCAGCGAATATGTAACTATATTAACATAAAATAACTAAATATTCTATCTTGGTTTCTCACTTAGCCACAGTTAATACTAAATGATTTCAAAATTTTAAATAGTACGATTGGAAGAAAAAGAGCACAGGCTCATTCTACCCAAGTGAGTCTTTTGAACCTTTTTCAAATACAGTAGAACCTCTCTAGTCCGCCCTCGGCTAGTCCGTCACTCCGGTTAATCCGACCGTGGTCGGAGTCGAGGAACTTGTGCCGATTCGTCAGTGACTCACCGTCTGTAGCGTTCTTCTGTGTTCGTTACAGTATATGTTTTACATTGTGTGTGTTTTCAACATGCCATGAGTAAAACGTAAACACGTTACTCTTGCATTAAATGAAAAATTAGCAGTGCTACAAAGACTGGACAAAGGGAAGATTGTTTATTTTGCTTTTTTCTGATAATCCGATCTTTTTTGCGTTCCGACCATACCCCCAGTCCCAAAGGTGACGGTTTAGAGGGGTTCTACTGTACACTATACTATACTCTCTTTTTTCTGTATCAATTGGTTCCAGCCCCTTTTTCTGTTCTCCCATTTACATTGTACTGGGTTCCCTCTTTGTTTTACTTACCAGAATTAAGGTGATCAAACTGTGCTGGTAGTTGGCTCCCTTTTCTTGCTTGCCGACGAACTGGCCGTGTGAAGTTTTACCGGTTTCTTCACATTCTCCTGTATGGGGGCCAGTTTCTCTTATGTACTCACTGTAGGTACCTGTTCTTACTGATTTTGTTCATAGTAACACCAGCCTTTTTTAATTTGACATTCCAATTTTGCTGGATCACATTGTCATTGGATTTTCATCCCTGCTTTTTATTTTCTCAGTGGGCTCACCAGTGGCCAAGCGGTTTTCGTGCCTTGAACACTGGGAGTTCAGTCGTGGATTAGCGTGTCGCTCGGACTCGCTGGCCACGTGGAGTTTTCCGGGTTTTCTTCACGTTTTTCACGTCTAAATTGGCGCCAGTTTCCCTTAAAAGATCTTTCTGGAAGGCACCTTTCCTAGGCAGATAGTTGAAGTGTGGCGTTGCCAAACGAACAAACTAAGAACTGAGACCTATTTCCTCAGCAAAACACGAAAATCCATATCCTTGTTTGGCTAAGTCAAGTTTTTAGCAAATGACTTTCTTATCAAACTCATTTTCTTCTTGGCTACATGGGATAAGCATCAACATTACAAATAGCATATATAATAAAGTTTACAGATAACATAAAACATGTAATTTATGAGTCCTTCACTCAAGGACAATATGAGCCTGACATAGAACTAGAAGACAGTACATACTATCACATAACATCTATGGGCCTCTTAGTGCTCTTAGAGCGGAAAAAGGCCGTTTTTTACAGAGCTGAAAAAATAAGAGGGCCATTTATATCGATTATTTTGGGTTTGGCTAGGAGCACAACGAAGCAGGCAGATGGGGAGAGATCGGGTCGACGTATTCAATGGCCATCCAGAAAAATTTTTGGGTTTATTCCATTCGTTAGGAAGCCATCCCGGGTCCTGAAGCGATAGGCTGCCATGGTAAATACTCAGCCGTATTGCTCTATACACATATGTGAGAAGCCGGGGGCAAAGGGGCTGTTTCCTAGATACCACATACTCAGCACGGATTGTCGGAATCCGCTCTGGACGGTTTTCAGCATATAGCTTTAGGAGAGCAAGTAGTGGAGTGGGGAGGTCGTGAGTAAATCGATAAGTTGTCTGGTTCCCAAATAATAGACAGTTCTCAACTGGTTAAACAAACAACAAATTTAACATAAAACTTAAAGCTAGGTTACATAAGTTCATTACGGGTACGTACGGCGATTATAGCCGATTAACCGATTCAAGATACACCCGAGTGATAAAGATTACTTATGCAGCTCGCGACACGCGTGCTTGCTGATCTAAGCCTTGATCTAACGAAAGACGAAAAGTTTACATAGATCTAATAAAATACCTCAGAGAGAGCGACGATGTCTCGTGATCCTGTCTGTTCGATGGTCGCATACCAATCGTGGATCTAGTCGAGATTCGGACGTCCGTAGGTCGCCGGGAAGCTAGAGAGTAGAGCTTCGTCTTCGGGCTGTAATTGACCGCTGCTGAATATGGCTGGACGGGTCCTGTGCCCACTGTCCTGTGGCCGGGTCCTGTGCTCACTGTCCTGTGGCCGGGTCCTGTGCTGGACGGGTCCTGTGCCCACACCGATGACTGGATACAACTCCTTTTTATACCCGTTTCTGGCTGATGCGTCTATGATGTAATGCGTTCTAAATTCGAATTGGGTCAGAGTGTTGTTTTGTACGAACTGTCAAGGATAGGACACCTTATATCAGACAGGGTTACTCATCTAACCTCATAAACGAGAAAACAACTGTCGAGCATACTAAATTAATTGCCAGTAATGACTAAGGTCCGGTATTGAGATACAACCGGAGTAATAATTGTTTAAATCAAAGAGACATTTAATCGGACTTATCTGTTAAGAAATAGCATATGTGTGTGTTTCTCCGTTGATTTTCTCCTCTCCATTTTCAGCATCGTATTAAAATAACTCTTAATTATTTAATTACCACCTCCGAATGTCACACATATTTTAGAACTGCTGAACACCCATGAGGAGATCGTAGCGCAATTACTATTAAATCTTTATGAACATAAGTAGCATTTATGATATTCTTAGCTGTTTCTTCCCTAACTTTATATATCATTCGTCGATTGTAGTGGCTTCAATTAGAACCTCCAGATAATTACAAAAGTAATTTACAGGTTTTAGATTGTTTATTATAATTTAAGTAAGAGGAATTAATTACATTTTTTAGATTGGTCTAAAAATATTATTGATTTTTTGCAAAACGCAAAAATTTGCATTTAAAATAGAACAGTAGAAGCGAAGTTCTTCAGAGTAATATTTAACCCTATTCCATCTCTTCGCGGGGGAAATTTTGAAAAATCCCTTTATAGTGTGCATTCTCGTGTATCAAATTTCGACTTAAAATTTCCTAAATGTTCGGACTCTGCACCTATTATTATTACTAACATCAACTAATCTCAATTATATATATATATATATATATATATACTAGCTGCAAGGAACCGCTTCGCTGGGTTTTTATTATCCAGAACGCC